CGGGTGCTTTAATCCAGTTCATCCGGTAGTTGTCGAGATCCAGCATTGGCTGTTTCTCGTTCCCAGTAAATTTAAGTCGGTTGAGTTTTGTTGGGTTCCCAGCCATATTGGCGTGTCTTTAAATGAGCGTGCGGATGCTGCCGCTAAGGAAGCTGTCCGCTCTTGTCCCATCTCTCGTAAAGGCATTCCGTATTCCGACTTTTACCCGGTTATCCATTCCTCAGTCCTTACCCGTTGGCAGGCTTCTTGGTTGTCTGTTACTGGTAACAAGCTACGTACTCTTAAATGTTGTGTTTCCTCGTGGCCGTCCTCCTTCCACCGTAACCGGCGGTGGGAAACAGCTCTAGCGAGGTTGCGTATTGGCCATACTCGCTTAACCCATGGTCACTTGATGGAGCGCCGCCCTGCTCCTTATTGTCCTAGTTGCATTGTCCCTCTTACGGTCGTGCATGTCCTTCTTGAATGTCCTGACTTCCAGGACGAGCGTGTGTCTTGCTTTCCGACCGCCCCTCGCGGTCACCTGTCCCTCGATAGAATTCTTGGTGACTCGGATACTTTTGATATCGTTCGCCTTATGCGTTTTTGTTCTCGTATTGGCATCCTTGGTGATATTTAGCGCCCTCTGATTATTTTGCGTATTTGATGGTGCTACATAGCCTTCCCGGTTTGGTGCCTTCTTTTGATAATTACTTACTTTGTTCTTACTGTTGTTCTTACTTTGTTCTTTCTGTTGAATTAATCATGTTTTCTGGCCCTGCATCTCTGTTTAGGTATGAATGTTTGTGCGCCTTCATCGTATATTTTGCAAAATTTGGCATACATTTCATTTACTTCCCTGCCTAGCAACAAATCTGTCCAATTACACTCACTAAAATTATGTCGAAGTTCCCCTTAGTGAGTGAGTGAGCAAGTGAGTGCATGAGTGAGTGAGTGAGTGCATGAGTGAGTGAGTGAGTGCATGAGTGAGTGCATGAGTGAGTGAGTGAGTGCATGAGTGAGTGAGTGAGTGAGTGAGTGAGTGAGTGAGTGAGTGAGTGAGTGAGTGCATGAGTGAGTGCATGAGTGAGTGCATGAGTGAGTGAGTGAGTGAGTGAGTGAGTGAGTGAGTGAGTGAGTGAGTGAGTGAGTGAGTGAGTGAGTGAGTGCATGAGTGAGTGAGTGCATGAGTGAGTGCATGAGTGAGTGAGTGCATGAGTGAGTGCATGAGTGAGTGAGTGCATGAGTGAGTGTGTGTGTGAGTCAGTGAGTGAATGAGTACTCACCTAATTGTGCTTGCGGGGTTGAGCTCTGGCTCTTTGGTCCCGCCTTAGTGAGTGTAAAATTACCAAAGTGTAGCTATAGGATGAGAGCTAACTCATGGTGTCCCGTCTTTCCGGTACATTGTCACATGACGCTTTGATGCTACTGATGGTTTTGGCCTCCAGTGCCTTCTCACTTGACTTGTTCCAACCATCCACCACTCCATTTGCAAGAGAACTTTGTAATATTTGAGTGGTTGAGGGCCACAGGGTTAACAACATTGCAAACCAGGTATGACAGGGCAGATCTCATTGAAACATTTAAAATACTGAACAATTTGGATGATGTTAAGCAGGACAATTTCTTTAAAAGGTTAGATGTATCACAAACAAGGAGCAACGATTTCAAGCTCAACAAGCCACAATGTAGGACTGAGAACAGGAGATGCTTTTTCACCCACAGGGTTGTAAACCCATGGAATTGCCTACCCGCCAAAGCCATAAATGCCAAAACTTTGTTAAATTTAAAAGTCGAACTGGAAAAGATTATCAAGGCAGATGGGGGGGAGGGACCTTCGACAAGCTGCCAACTTCCTGTCCTCGTCGAGGCCACTAGTGTTAGTGGCCCTCAGGTAAATATTTTTGGCACATTTATTTCCTTAGCTTGAATCTCTGACCTCTTGCTTTGAAGTGGTTTTCAAGAATTCTTCTTTGTAAATTTTGTTGATTCATGTTACTACTGTACTTTGTATGTAGTGATCATATTGCCTCTTTTCCTACTTTTACCTACTATCTTCAAGTTTTGGTATATAGTATTTAATACCTGTAGCTTCTCCTTGTAGCTCTTGTTTATCAGTTCTGGAAGTCATTTAGTAGCACATCTCTGCACCTTTTCTAGTTTATTGATGAACTTCTTGAGATATGGAGAAATAATACAACCACTGCATATTCCAATTTTGATTTCACAAAAGTCATGAACAATTTCTTCAATATTTCACAGCATGTACTTAAAAAGATTTTGAAATGGAAAAGCATAGCAAAAGTTCTTCCTACAAGCTTCTCTGGTGGCAGTTTGCTAATCAGAACCATCCACGGATCTCTTTCTTTATCCAAGTTTTTTAATTCCTTTTCACATAATTTGGAAAACAAGGAATGAAGCTGTTTAAATCTGACATATCGAGGCTGTACCATAGGTCCACCTAAATTCCACTTTGGGACTGGGAACAATCTTGACACTCACCGAAGGGACAAGGTAATTTTGACTTCAAAAGGTCAGTTCTAGCCAACGACAATGCAGAAATGGGGATGAATCCTGACCCCCAAGCTCTGACCCCAAGATAGGGGAAAGGACCGACCAATTCCACCACAGGCTGAGAAAGACTGCATAAAAAGCCCATGAATTATGGGACTAGGAGGTGCAAAAATGGACATAATATGCAAATACTGTATAGATATAATAGCTCTCTGTGGATGTAATGGAGTTTACTTTGACCCTTGAAAAAAATCCTGCTACCATTTCATGCTTTCATGTACTGAACTAGGAGCAGCCTGCCATCATGTGTGCCACATTGGTGGCTTACCCTTTCTTTCAATCTATATTCTCACCCTTATGGTGCCAATTAGGCCATATGTCATTGCCTAGAGCCCAACACCACTGTATATTATGTTCATATCCTTTTCACTACTCTCTGGTTATAATGTAGTATACCAGGTAAACTATTCATCAATTGAAGCATGTGTAGTTGAAACAATTGCATTGTGTGAACTGTGTGATTATCAAGTTATTCAACAAACATACTCTTGTAAATACAATGGTACCTCCATTTACAAATTTAATCCATTCCCAGAGTAACTCGAAAATTCATAACTCAATAAATTTTCCCATAAGAAATAATGTAAATTGAATTAATCTGTTCCACACTCCCAAAAATATTAACTTCAAAATATATTTCATACATAATACACATACATATTTTGTACAGTAGTACAGTATGTACAAGTTATAGCTTACCTTTATTGATGACTTTTGTTGGCATATGGAAGACAGTGAGGAGGGGGGTGGAGGAGAGGTGTTACTGTTTGGAAGGAGAGTTCCCTTTCCATTATATCATCAGGCAGTGATGACTTCTCTGGGGTACTCTCTGTCCTAATTTTGCCTGCATACCACTTGGACCTGGTTGTGGCTCACTGCTTGTTTTTCCTCACTAAGAACCTTTCCATAGACTTGTTTTTCCCTACGTTTTAACACTTTACAGTCTCCGTGGTGTAGTGGTAAGACACTCGCCTGACGTTCCGCGAACGCTATGTCATGGGTTCGTATCCTGGCCGGGGAGGATTTAATGGGCGCAATTCCTTAACTGTAGCCTCTGTTTAACGCAACAGTAAAATGTGTACTTGGATGAAAAAACGATTCTTCGCGGCAGGGGATCGTATTCCAGGGACCTGCCCGAAACGCTACGCGTACTAGTGGCTGTACAAGAATGTAACAACTCTTGTATATATCTCAAAAAACTTGTTTGTAGCGAGACATCACATTGTCTCACTATGAATGATCTTTTTTTTTTTCCTCTATGGTAATCCTCACATGTGTTTTCTTAGGTTGAACCTTACCACTGACTTTCTTGGGACCCATGGCATGATATATAATAATTACTGTTATGTTCAAAAAACAAAACAGCACAAAACCAATGAAATTCTTTACAAAGAATTCAAGCGCGATCAACACTAAGCGGGCAGTTTGGTAAACTGAACCGGGGTCACCTGTACCACCAGGAACCACATGCTCCATCGACCCATATGTGTATCAACAAAGTCGCAAGTCGAGTCAAATTTTCTGACGAAATTGGGGTCGTAACTCGAAAAATTCGTAAGTCGAGGTTTTACTGTAAAGAGAAACAAGGGATAAACAATCAGTGAAACATCCGAAGACAACACAGGAAGCATCAGCAGAGTCTGCACCAGGTGATGGGTGATGACGGGCACTAGACACCTCCACCACACATTCTTTGAGAGCGGCTCCACCCAGTGAAATGATAAATATTAACGTATTTTCACGTTTTTCTCACATTGTGAATACAAATTTATAATTAATTTTTATTATTATTTTTTTTTTTTTTGCACATACAGTATGACCATTTTTCCATAGCTGCTGTCTATGGGTTAAACGTCAGTTTATGATGGGGGGGGGGGGCTTGGTGGCTCTCTGGACCCTCTCTTCCTATTGAGTGCATCAGTCGGTCTTTTCTTAAGCTCTGGACTAATAATTTTTGATAAGGGGAGCTGGCAGCTTCCCATTGTGTTGCCATCTGGCAGTAGCCAGCTATACAACCTAACTACTGGGTGGATTGTTTCATATATTACTGGTTTACTTTCTGTGAGCCTTGCACTTCTGTTTTGCTTTGCTTCCTCTCTGGGGGTTTGTGTCTTTGGTTAGAGTGATCATGAGTCCCCCTGCTCCCTGTGCATCTGTTTGGGGGGCCAAGTTTCAGCCGCTGATCTCCGGTATTCTATTAAGGATTCCTAGGGCTGATGTGAGTCTTATGTATGGAGATCTCATAATGCAGCTAGCAACAGGGAACCACCAAAACCCTTCAGAAAGAGGCGTTTCATTAAATTCAACATTGTTTTGGTTTTTGTGGTCCACTTTTGCAATTACCAATTTGTCTGGTAAACACTTTAGTTTTATCAACATTAATTAAAAGACCAAGATTTTCCACAAGCTGTATGTATTCAATTTAAGATTGTTATTGAAAACTAATTTACCTTGTATATCGCTAAGTGAATGAGGTTCCAACAGGTTTTTAGCTGCAATATCATTTAACCATCGACTGCTCTGGTCATCCTTATCAATAAAAACTGCAGCAGCTGCCTGAAAATTATAGCAATATTGGGCAAGAATGTCATAAGTATAACAGTCCATTCCCCCAGTTATAGTACATTACTTATAGTAACTATTTAGTTGAACATATCAGTATGTAGTGATGGACCACAAGTTGACCACTTTTGTACTATTAATTTTAGAGTTGGAAATAATAAAGCTAACCAAATGTAAATATTCGTAAACCTAATTTTACGTTATCTTAGGTTTAAGATAGCATATATTAGGCCTAAGATTGCTAGGGAAGGTTTTGTATTTCTGTTGCAGTTTAAAAAGTTTCTGGTTTGTCCAAATTCAATAATACAAAAGCAACTTTTTGGTGGTCCATCACTACACTGATACTTTTGACCAAATAGTTACTAAAAGTACTTTTATTTTAGAAGGATGAGCTGAAACACACACACACTAGTCCAGCATTTCTCAACCTTTATACCCTTGAAATAATTCTGGATCATATTTTTAATAAACACTCATGGTAGTACTGAACCACTGTCAACTGAAAGGAAACGATTTCTGTCTTTGCTCTTGATACAAGTTAAATTAGAAAAAATAGAAACAAAAGTGACTCAAAAATACATTTGATTAAGATTAGAAATAGCCTATTTATCACTTTCCCTCTCTCTCTTGCAGAACTCCTAGTTACATTGTAGTTCTGTAGAACCCTGGTTGAGAAATGCTGCACTAAACCATTTTATTTTATAACAGCAGTAATCATTGAAAAAAAGGATGGATGGGTGAACTACTATATGCATTACAGTATTTAATTTATATACAGTAATATCACTTGCCCTAGTGCCACAGAAAACTTGACAGAGGGGGGGGGGGGGGAGGATAAGAATAATAGGTAAGCTTTTAAGCTGGACAAGTGATTTTCATAATGAAAGATCAGTGAAAATAATAATAAGAGGTAAATTCTCATCATGAGAAAAGGTTTCAAGTGGGGTTACTCCAAGGATCAGTGCTAGCTCTACTACTATCTTGTATACATAATGACTTTCCAAATGATATATAATCAAATCATTCTCACTGATGTTAAGACAATGGGGATACAGAATGTAGTACAAAATATTGTACAACAAACCAGCGTTGAATGTAATGAAACACCATTTTCTGGGCGAGACTTGGAGGCTCCCCGGAGCTATCCAGGCTGATATGTAATATATTAGACTTTGCCATCAGTGTGAATGGAGTTCATAGGCATACTTGGGACCATGAGCCAGAACCTGGCTCTCTCAGAGAGGCACGAGGAGCAATGGCCTATTGAATAGCTCATGTGATTTGGAGCATTCTGTGTCTGCCATCGACCGGGTCAGTCACCCAGAAAGGTAAGCATCCCAAAACAAACCCCTATTCAGGTTGAAACTACTCCTGAAAGTCAAACGAGTGGACAGAACTCCTCAAAGAAAAACAAGAATAATGAGCATGACGTCACCACCTGCAGTGCTGCCGGCTGCGCAGCTCCACCCTCCCCGGGAAGGGGAATGAGGAGCCCCAGACCCCTCGCGCCGGCAGCCCACACCTTCAGTTCTGAGACTGGATGTCAAAACACACGAAAAAGCTGCTGACCGGTGGAAGTGAAGAATGCCGAGGAGCCTCCGGGTCTCACCCAGAAAATGGCGTTTCATTATATTCAATGCTGGTTTTCTGGGATGAGCCCCTTCGGCTCCCCCGAGCTATCTACCCAACGACAAAGACGAAAGAGGGACAAACCTGGGAGGCGGAAACCACGCGACTGAACCTGAAAGCAAGACAACTGGCAACCCCAAATGACCCTGCAGACCTGAACCTTAGAACAGAGACAAAGGGAACCCAGGTCAACCCAAAGTGCGGCCATGGCCACAGAGGCCGCGGCGGACAGGCAATGGCTGAGAGCCACAACCGGACACAAGATAATGCACTCCTGGCCAAACCAACCAAGCAACAACAACCCCAGGGACTCCTCCGGAAAACAGCCATCCCAACCTTGCCAGAAAAGAAGAGACAGCTGTAAACGAATAAACTGAACACCAGAACCCAAAAGAGCAAAAACCGCTGAGAAACAGTCTGGAACCGAAGGGGTCACAGCAAACCGAGGGAAAGAGAGAAAAGATCACCTTGTCCAAAGACCAGGATGGCTCAGGCAGCGCATGAGCAGGCCAGAGATGAAACAACGCCCGAGACAGCTCACGAAGCGGTGCAAAAGGAACATCAAAACTGAAAGCAAGCCGTAGCAGCTCCGCCAGTGTCGAACGATACAAGCGCCAGTATGCAGCATAAAATGACGGTCCTGAACAGCCACAAGAGAAAGGCCAAGACCACCTCGACAAAAAGCCAGTATACCGACATAGAGACAAAATGAAAAAGGAAGGACCGCCAGTAAACCACATACTTCCGCTGAGACGAAGCCACCCGATCACCAAACAGATGGTAATAGACTCAAGTCAAAATTACCAGATGCGAAGACTCGAGAAGACTGAACCAGCAACGTAACGGACTGGACCGATCATCGGAAAGAGGCGGAGCCATGGAAAAACCCCTGGGTACTGAGATCGAGCAAGCAGCGCCCGAACCAAGGCTGGGCCCTCCGAGAACTCAGCAGACACGACACCCGAAGTGATCATCCCCCAAAGAGCCAAGGAACGGTCCAAGAGTTCCACACGGTGACTTTGTGGCGAGAAACAAAATGGGCAGACTTTCTTTCACCCTGATGCCCCTGTTACCTAGCAGCAAATAGGTACCTGGGAGTTAGACAGCTATTATGGGCTGCTTCCTGGGTGGGTGTGTGGGGAGTGTGTGTAATTACCTAAGTGTAGTTACAAGTTGAGAGCTACGCTTGTGGTGTCCCGTCTTCCCAGAACACTTTGTCATATAACGCTTTGAAACTACTGACGGTCTTGGCCTCCACCACCTCACCTAACTTATTCCAACCATCTGCCACTCTGTTTGTGAAAGTGAATTTTCTTATATTTCTTCGGCATCTGTGTTAGGTTAGTTTAAATCTATGACCTCTTGTTCTTGAAGTTCCAGGTCTCGGGAAATCTTCCCTATCAATTTTATCAATTCCTGTTACTATTTTGAATGTAGTGATCTTATCACCTCTTTTTCGTCTGTCTTCTAGTTTTGGCATATTTAATACCTCTAACCTCTCCTAGTAGCTTTTAACCTTCAGTTCTGGGAGCCACTTAGTGGCATGTCTTTGCACCTTTTCAAGTTTGTTGATGTGCTCCTTTAGATATGGACACCATACAGCCGCTGTACATTCCAGCTTTGGTCTAACAACTCATGAACAATTTCTTTATTATTTCGCCATCCATGTATTTAAAAACAATTCTGAAGTTAGAAAGTGTAGCATAGGCGCCTCGCACAATGTTCTTAATGTGATCCTCAGGTGATAGTTTTCTATCTAGAACCACGCCTAGATCTCTTTCTTTATCAGACTTCTTTAAAGATTTCTCATATAATTTATAGGTTGTGTGGGGTCTATGTTCTCCTATTCCACGTTCCATAACATGGTATTTATTTAAATTAAATTCCATTTGTGAAGTGGTGCTCCATATATTTATTCTGTCCAGGTCTTCTTGAAGGGTATGACAATCATCTAGGTTACTTATCTTCCCTATTATCTTAGCATCAGCAGCAAACATATTCATATAATTCCGTATTACATCTGGTAGATCGTTTATGTAGACAATGAACATTACCGGTGCAAGAACTGAACCCTGTGGTACTCCGCATGTGACATTTCTCCAGTCCAATGCATGTCCTCTTATTACTGCCCTCATTTTTCTATCACTCAGAAAATTTTTCATTCATGTTAGCAGCTTACCTGTCACCCCTCCAATGTGTTCCAGTTTCCAGAACAACCTCTCATGTGGAACTCTGTCAAAAGCCTTTTTTAGGTCCAGATAGATGCAGTCAACCCAACCATCCATTTCCTGTAAAAACTCTGTGGCTCGATCATAGAAACTGAGTAAATCTGTTACACAGGATCTTCCAGATCGAAAACCATACTGACGGTCTGATATTATATCGTTTGTCTCCAGGTGTTCTACCCATTTAGTTTTATTTATTTTCTCTAATATTTTGACTATTACACTTGTCAAGAATACAGGTCTATAATTGAGGGGGTCTTCCCTGCTTCCACTTTTGTAGATTGGAACTATGTTAGCCTTTTTCCCACACGTCTGCTATGACTCCTGTACACATGGATGCCTGAAAAATCAGGTGAAGTGGAATGCTGAGCTCAGGTACACATTCTCTCAGAACCCATGGTGAAACTCCATCCAGGCCAACTGCTTTGTTCTTACTTAGCTCCTTTAGCATATTTTCCACTTCGTATCTAGACATCGCTATGTGCTCTATGTTGTTTTCTGGAATTCTTATTGTGTCTAGTTCTCTGAGGATTTAATTTTGTACAAACACATTTTGGAACTTTTCGTTTAATGTTTCACACATTTCATTTTCATATTCCGTGAATCTGTTTCCTATTTTCAATCTCTGGATATTATCCTTTACCTGCAATTTGTTGTTTATGAATTTGTAGAATAGGCCTGGTTCTGTTTTACATTTGTCCGCTATCCCTTTTTCAAAATTTCTTTCTGCTTCTTTCCTTACTGCTGTATAATAGTTTCTTGTATCTTTGTATCACTGGTATGTTTGGGGGTTTGGCTTCTTCCTATATTGATTCCATTTTTGTCTCTTTTGGCTTCTGGCCCTCTCGCAATTTCTGCTGAAGCAATCCAGTTTTCTGGCACTGCATCTCTGTTTAGGTATGAATGTTTGTATGCCTTCATCGTATATTTTGCAAAATTTGGAATACATCTCATTTACTTCCCTGCCTAGCAACAAGTCTGTCCAATTACACTCATTAAAATTTTTTCGAAGTTCCCCATAGTGTCCCTCTCTTGATATCGAGTTTATCAACTGTTTCAATGTCCCCATTTTCTTCTGGATTATATCTTAAAGCATATTTAATGTCTAAAAGGACATGATCCCTGTCCTTTTCCCAAGGGAGAAAGATACTAGATGTCAAATATATCTTCTTTCCTGGTGAATACCAGATCCAGTACTGACGGTACATCCCCTTCCCTCATTCTTGTGGCCTGCTTGACGTGTTGATACAAGAATGTCTCCAGAATGAAGTTTACAAATATGCAGGTCCAAAATTCCTCCGTTTTTGCTTCATAAGCCTCCCAGTCTATTGCTTTAAAGTTGAAGTCCCCCAGTATCAACAGTCGTGATTTATCTATCTTTCTCTCATGATCATTATGAGGCCCTCTCGTTTGTCATCCAGTTCTTCCTTTGTCCATGTGTTGCTTGCTGGTGGTCTGTAGGCATTTACAGTTATCAGTTTATCATCCTGATTCCAGACCAGCAATGCCATTATGTCAACTTCTCAAGGATTTTTAAGTATAAACCACTGAACTGGGCAACGCGCCTGCAGGCGCTTGGGGATGGGGGGGGGGAGGCACAATGCACCTCAGGGATCTTTTAGGTATAGCGTTTGATTCAAAACTCCCACGGTTACATGGGGTTCGCATCAGCTTCCTCAGGGCTCTTGTAAACAGACGCCATTTAAAAAAAAATCATGGGCAACATTCTCGGGTGTGAGAGCCTCAGTACTGAGTTAACAACCAAGGCTGGCGCACACAACATGAGCTCACAGCGCTGCTGTTCAGCTTGTGACCACAGCATCCCCTAATAATGTCAAAATAAATATGTAACACAAGTTTGTTTTTGGTTAGCTAGCTTAGGAGAGTCTCCAACAGGTTCCTCCCAGGAAAACGAGTTGAATGTAATGAGACGCCTCTTTCTGGCAGAGCCCCAGTGACTCCTGACTCCCTCCCTTCCTAACAGATTTGTCAGTTCATTGTGCACGAGCCCCAGACTGACCATTGGAGTTGGCTGTGGGCTGGGGGGGGGGGTCTGGGCTGCATGGTGATGACTATCGGTACTGATGGGTTCAAGTCATTTAAATGGGCTAATGGGCTTGACTGAATCATATATTTAGTATAATTTGTTTGCGGAGTTGTTTGGCCATTTCAATGCTTCATTTTCTATGAACATTGCAGGTATCTGTAAAGCCTTATTGACTTTTTGGATGCTTTCCCAGTAAGGGTAATAATCCCTGCTCTTTGCACCTCTGTGAGGGGGCCAAGTTTTATCTCAGATTTCCAGTAGGCCAAACAAGACTCCTGTGACTGATGTGAGTCTTTCCAGAAAATCACTAAAAATGTGATCCAAGTACAGTTGGCTCACTGTGCTTGGATCTCTTTGCAACCGTTCAGAGTTGAAATGTCCCAGGTTTGATTCCCACGACAGAGATGTTTGGGCATGTTACCTTTCACCTAATTTCAGAATTTCACTGAAATTGCACAGAACTGCATAGAATTTCACATAATTCTATGCAGCCTTTCTAATTTACAGCCTAGCAGAAAAACAGAAACCCAGGAGTTGGGCAACTATTGTGGATTCCACTTTGGAAAAGGTCAGAACTGTAGTTAGCCAAGGAAAACCTCAATTAGCTTAGCAGGCTTCCTTTCCTTGAAAATAAGAATAAGCACCCTAATTTTTCTCATGTGCTATGGGCTAATTTCCCTAAGCTGAAATTTAAATTTAATGTAACATATGACCAGGAGAACCTATTTGCAGAGAGAGAGTTCACATCAGAATTATTTCCTATCTGCCAGCCTTGAAATCTTACTTTCAAAGGTAGGTAGGTAGGTGGGTACTGTGGTGATTTCTAATCCACAAATTTCCCTATGCCTCTCTTGAGCTGGCCAGATTCTGGTCATGGTCTCCAGTAGGTGCTCATGGGGTCTTTAGTGGCCCGGTCTCTCTCAAGACTTGTTTACTTCCAAGTTACTGTATAACATCCAAGAGCTACTGAGGGAATCCCCTCCCAAAATCTGTCCATGTAATTACAGCACATGTGAAGCATACTCTGATGTCCAATATAAAGTTAAATTGACAAACTAGCAAAATAAATTAATTCATAAAACATGACCTACACAAAATAAAAAATAAAAAATGAAAACACTTCAATAATCTAATCTAAGAATCTAAGAGTAATCAAAGAATCGGTAATCTAAAAGACTAATCATATCAAACGGCTTTCCATTATGTCTACTCATTCTAGTAAATACTGTACTTTGCACCTACAAACACACATGATAAAATTCATATCGTGGCATATTGTAACATCTTACCTCTGGTGTTGCAATTTCTATGTTAAAAGCTGATTGTGTTAACTTATAGCACTGAAGAAACGAAGGAGCCGAGACACCTGCAAGACATAATAAAAATAATGAACTGTCCAAGTACATGCTGTAAATGTTTTTAGCTATGGAAACTATACTGAAATGAAAAACCTGTTGCTGTATGATAACGTTTTATTAACAAAGATTCAACAATGAAATTGAGTTCAGTAAAATAAAATGTGCCTAAAGGAAAAGCACCAGGAATGTAACCAGTCATCATTCACACAGATCATTGTGCTGAATATTAAACTAACCAAATTACAGAATTTATGACCCACTTAACCCTTTAACTACGCAATGCGCCTGCAGGCCCACGTCTGGGGTGCACTACACGCCTCTGGGTATTTGTATTTTTTACGTTCCATTTGAAACTCCCGAGGCTACATGGGGTCCACATCAGCTTCCTCAGGGCTCTTGTAAACAGACGCCATCTTTAAAAAAAAATCGTGGTCCACATTCCCGGGTGTGAGAACCTCAGTAGTGAGTGAGCAACCAAGGCCGACGCACGCAGCATGAGCACACAGTACAGCTGTTCAGCGTGTGACCACAGCATCGCCTAATAATGTCAAAATATATACATAACCTGTATTATTTAGCCATGATAGTATTATAGAAGAGCCTGAGTGTGATAATGACTGGGTACAATGTTCAAATATCAGTGATTCAATGCTGTTCATGATGTACACAGCGCTAGCCACAGCACCACAGCATTATTTTGTCCATCTAGGAATCTTCAAACGACTTCTTAGGTTCCTTTTCAAAATAAACTTGTGGTCAATTATTCATTTACAGATATTAGTGACCAGGATTGTGGTTATAATTAGCGTTGTGCGTAGGATTGTGGAAGGAGGAATTTTGGTGAGGGAGGGAGGGAGAGAATTGAGTTAGCCTCACTGTGTGTGGCAGCCACTCTTGTTTTGCTCACCATACTAGCTTCGTGGTTCGCTATGAGGAACACATGTACATGGGTATATACAGTATGTGTGTGTATATAGTGTAATAACAGCAACAGGAGTATGTTGAGATGAGCTATTTTGGTGAGGGAGGTGACGTCGTAATCGTAGCGTCGTCTGCTGTCTGCTGTGTGTTTTCTCATGCAGTGTATGGTGACCACTGTGCTCACACAATACCGGCTATCTTGCATAGTTCTGGCAAATAAAACATGTAGATAGGTATATATAACATGTGTAAATAGTGTAATAAAACAATAACAGTATGGTGGGAGGAGCAATGTTGGTGAGTAAGATGTTGGAGGGAGGGAGGGAGACTATGGCTGGGTGTGGCTGCTCACACTCGCGGTGTTCTGAGTGTGTTGATGGTGAATGTATATAGTGTGTGACAGTGTATATTGTGTACATATGTTGTAAATATACATAAATGAACATGAAACATTGGTGTGAATAGCTGTATGATGGGAGGAGCAATGTTGGCAAATACAATGTTGGAGGAGTGAAGTAGGGCTGGCTGGGTGTGACAGCTCACACTCGCGGTGTTCTGAATGTGTTGATGGTGAAAGTATATAGTGTGTGACAGTGTATAGTGTATAAATAGATTGTATACATACATAAATTAGCATGATACATGGTAAATATGTGCAACATATGTGTACACAAGTGTCATGCACGTAACACAGTCTTCGGACAGTACGGATGTTTTACTGCCATAATATAGTATATGTGTTCATTATACATAGGATTAGCACGTTAAAAGAAATAAAATGTATTTTGAACCGAGTGCAAAAAATGAACATAAATATATTCGCGGCAACTTGCGCGCCCCGCCCCGGGCACCCTACTGGCCCCGGGATTGTACGTCACGGGTGAACGGGAAATGATGACGTCACGAGCCAACTTACAGACCCCATAGCAGGCAAAGTAAGTACAATTTAGATTTTTTTTTGACATACTCATACTGAGACAAGGGTTTTTGACACTTTAAAAAACAAAAGAATTTTTTCCAGAGAATTTATTTCCTGCGCACTGAGGGGTGTCATATATGGAAGCGGCGCAGTTAAGGGGTTAATAAAACCAGTGTTGAAAGTAATGAAATGCCTTTCTGGTGATAGCCCCACTGGCTCTCTGAAGCTCTATTGCTAAGATAGTGTTACGGTTATCTCCTGCATAGCAGTAGATTCTGCCTGTTCCTTACCAACTACATACCAGCCTGGTCCAACATCAACAACAACAACAACAACAACAATACTTGCCAAAATGTATTGTCTAGACACACCCCTCCACCCTGCTTTGCTTACTGCTCCTCCACCATACCTTCCACGAGAGAGAGCGCACTTACAGTCTCGGCTGCCACCAGCAAACTATCAGGACAGTCGTTATCTTGCCAGCTTCTCGTCTACAACTCCAACATTTGCGCCAAAATGATGTCACTGCCCATATATAAAGGCATGCCAGCATCCAGCACAGCAGATTACCCTTCAAGTGCTCATTGATTCCGCATCTATTCTCGCCTACGGGTGATGGTAGACGCGCACAGCATTTTGTACAAAGTTTTGCCTTCACCTTTGTTATTAACGTAAAATTCACATGTGTATATTTCTCTTTCGAATGTGTTTAAGCCAAGTGGATAAGGGGGTTTTGTTTTCATTAATTGTTACTTATCATTTTGTGTAAAATTAAAGTAATTTTTTTGTTATATTAAATGTTTAAACTTTTTATTATCGTGTTTTTTGCCCGCAATTGACATACAGTAAAAGGTACCAGCAGTTTTATTTCATTTTGTTTTCTCTTCTTTTTTTAACAATGTGTATTTGGCACAATACCTGCCAGAATAGTTACTGCTCTATTCCAGATCACGTCACAATAGCATCCCACTTTAAGAGACATATCAGTCATAGGAATCCTGTTTAGCCTACCAGTGCCAGAGCCTAACCCATTCATGGAAGCAGTGGAGCTGATGAGTCCCCTAAGATTTTGTGTTTCCCTTCTAGCCAGTCCTTTCTTCTCAAACCTCTCACTTTTTCACTTTTCTATCCAGGGACAGTGGGCATGGATGCCGGCTCTGCCCCAGAGCCTTCTTGGTTGGTTCCCAGGCCATGGGGAAAGATGTCAAAGCTTATAGGAAGTCAAAACTTCCTGGCCTCGGGCCTGGCTTGGGGAGTAGAACTCCCAGAATCCCATTAAGCAGGTAAAGGAGACTATGGGCTCCCTTGGACCCCAAGTGGGTTTTCGTTCCTTTGGACAAAGGCATTTTTGCTTCAAGGGTAAGTTTTTTTTTTGTATTTCCCTCTACTTGAATGACTGATTTGAATGCAGCCCCTTTCCCTCCAGGGTTTGCTTCTGCATGCCGATTGGTCTGTTGGAACTATCCTTGCAGAATTTCCTTCCTCTTGATTCCCACAGCTTACAACTCATGAGGATCTCTTCAAGTATCTCTTGCATAACCCGGAGTTTGGCTCTATGATGGACCCCCTGCCTCTTTTGAGTTTGATTCTGATCAGTATGAAATACTGATCAGAACTCTCTTCCCCCTCTTGAAAGTAACTAAATAAAATAAAAATAATCAATAATAATGAAATAAAGACATTTCAATAAAACATCAAAACATGTGTACTCGCCTAGTTGTGCTTGCGGAGGCTGAGCTCTGGCTCTTTGGTCCTGCCTCTCAACTGTCAATCAACTGGTGTACAGATTCCTGAGCCTACTGGGCTCTATCATATCTACATTTGAAACTGTGTATGGAGTCTACCTCCACCACATCACTGCCTAATGCATTCCATCTGTTAACTACTCTGACACTGAAAAAGCTCTTTCTAATGTCCCTGTGGCTCATTTGGGTACTCAGTTTCCACCTGTGTCTCCTTGTTTGCATACCACCCATGTTAAACAGTATCTTTACCTACCCTGTCAAATCTTCTGAGAACTTTGTAGGTAGTGATCATGTCTCTGCGAGCTTTCCTGTCTTCCAGCGACATGAGGTGCAGTTCATGCAGCCTTTCCTCGCAACTCATGCCTCTTAGTTCTAGGACTAGCCTAGTGGCATACCTCTGAACTTTTTTCCAGCTTCGTCTTATGCTTAACAAGGTACAGTACGGGCTTATGGTGTGTGAAATCATCTGAGTGTGTATGTGTGAATGCTACACAGTACAAGTATTCATCTATAGGGATCCATATACCCTGTATGCTGAAATACATGTAGAACCTCACATATGCTCACAGTTTCCTGACCAAAGAAAGCAAGCTTAACGTATCTTCCTACATACACACATCATGTCAACAAGGTGGATAGCCCACCTGCAATCATAACTCATACCTATTTCCCATTCAAACATTACCTTTGCATGTGCTTGTCCCCAACCCCTCAAAAAAAAAAAAAAAAAAAAAAAAAAAGTTTTCTCAGTGGTGACTCTCCACTGCTATTGGTGGCTTTTCATGCCACCAAATTCTGCCTTGGTGGATGCTTTGTGGTTGGTCCTGTTTCCTTGGTTCCCTATTGTAACGTTCCTGTCTCTCAGGTTGTCCACCATGTCCAAGTCTTGCCAGCCTGTGGTCTACTCTCATGCCCATGATGTTCTTAGGTACTCCACTATTTTGGCTATATTTGCTAATATGTCCATGGTTGACATTCAGGTGTGGGGGTTCTGGTGTTCGAACAGGGTGCTAGTGTCTCAGTACTTGGTTAATGTTCCCAGACCTCATTGCCTTTGTGTTGCAGTGGGTTCTCTCTCAATCTGCTGTCTTGGTTTCATCTTGGCTACTTGTGGTTCCTCCTCCTCCCTAGTGAGTCTCTTTCTTCTCCATGGGTAGTTAGCTTCAGGAAGCTTCAAGTGGCTCCTCCAACAAAATTAGAGTTGAATGTACTGAAACTACGATTTCTGGGGAATCCTCAGAAGCTCCCTGATTACCCTGCTCACTTCCAGGTTATCAGTTGGTTTTGCATGCATTTGCTCTAGAACTGACTGCTCGAGCCAGTGGAGAACGTGAGCCCTAGCCCCTTCTCCATTCACAAATTAGTGGAAGGGATGCAGTGAATGATTATAATGCTTGTTAAGAGAAATTTCCAATCATTTTAC